TTACTATTACAACTGCTGAAGCGGCTGAATAAAGAGAGAGAGAGAAATTATAAAGAAAAGAATAAAATATATATATATATATATATATATTAAATTATAAATATATATTTTATAAAATATATAATGCTGAGTCGGGCCGGGCTTTTTTGACAAATCCCGAGTCCGGCTCGAAACACAATCGGGCTTACTATGTTAGGCCCGAGGTCAGGCCCATGGGCTTAATTACATGACCAAACCCGACCGGGGTGCAAGCCGGGCCGGGCCAGGCCATTAGGCTACCCGGCCCATGAACGGGTCTAATTTCGGCGTAGTGACAGATAGGAGTGGCAGTTTTTTAACCCAATCCACCAACCCGCCCAACCCAACCATTAATTGACGGATTGGGTTGTAACCATTTAATCTCTGGTCACTCTGGATTGGATAACCGAATAATGGGACATTTAATGGGTTGGGTGGGTTGGGTCATGGTTATCCAACGGATAATCCAATAGTTTTTGATATTTAGACTTCTCTCTCTAAATAATCCTAATTCGAACCTTAAACAATCCCAATTCTAAGTAGAGAGTAGAGGTGTAAAACGGGTTGTGCCGGACAACCCGTTTTGAAAAGGATTCTTCAATGTTTTCACTGCTTCTCGACATTCATGGTCTCTACTCTTTGCTCTCACTCACATTCTCTTAGGCGGCAACACCACCGGCTTGGGCTAAATCATGTCATCTTTTTCATATTGACGGTTGTCTTGGTTGCATTTTTTTTTTTAAACTTCATTGAGGTTGTCATCCACCAAGCCTGTAATTGGCATCAAGCAATTCATCTTGCTCTAGTATCGGCATCAAGACTGTAATCGGTGGTAAATCTGCGAAAGGGATTGGTTCAGGTGGGTTGCAATTTTTTCTTCATTTTTTGTGTTTTTCAATAATTTTTGTTATATTTATTTTGCAATGCCGTTTTTTCACATGTATAGAAAGGACAAAATGAAAGTTGCAATTTCTGTTTTTTCAAAATTTTGTGTAATTTTTATTAATTTTATGCATTTTTTGTTTTGTTTAGTTTCTATTTTATTTTCTGCAATTTCTATTATTTTAGTGTAATTTTCATTATTTTATCTAAATGGGTTGGGTTGGGTTGGGTTCAGGTGGGTCTGGGTTGAACTCAATCCATTTAATTCTATCTATTGGATCATTAATGGGTTGGCGGGTTAGGTAGATTGGGTTGAATCTCAATCCAAACCGAACCCAACCCAACCCGCCCAATTGCCACTGTGACAGATAGGCACCTTGAACTTTCAATTGCAATACTTGAGTATCCTTAACTTACAGAAATAGACACTTGGGTCCATCTGTTAGTATTCCGTCAATTAAACATTACATAATGTCAAAAATACATTTTTCATGTATTTTTGAAATCATTCTACGAAATAAAATCATTACCAGAGAATATAGTCGTCAGAAATTTTGAATATATTATTTATTGTCCATGTGAGAACGTCATTATGGGGAGATGTTTGATTACCTGAGAATGATCTCAAAAATAAAAGAGAAGGGTATTTTTGGCATTATGTAATGTTTAACTGACGGAATACAAATGGATGAACCTAAGTATCTATTTTTGAGAGTTCAGAGTACTCAAATGTTGCAATTGAAAGTTTAGGGTACCCATTTGTCACTACCCCCAAAGTATAGGGTTGATGATGCATGATCTGGTTGCTCCCTACTTCAGTACAGTTCGGGCGTTGGACTGGTGATGTGGCCGGGTTGAGCTGCAAGACAAGGCAATCAGAGTGTTCCAGGGTGCTTTACCTAGTGTGGGCATTCAGATGCTTAAATTAGCGATGGAGGTTTGAGAGAGCTGATAGCTTGAAAGTAATAGAATGCGAGAGCTAAATCGTGCGTACCTTGTGAGGCTGGAGGCGAAACCTTTATATAGGCAAGCTTTCGTAGGCCTCATGATGTGTGTTCGAGATCATCGGCCCGTCCAACTTAGAGTTAGCTTCGCACCCAAAGATGGACTCCGAGTAAGCTAATAAGGCTCATCCAGATCCATCCAAATCAGGTGGAGTGAAGATAAGATCCGTTGACATGCATCATGATCCTGAGGAGATCGGAGACAGCTGAAGGAGGCTGGCTATGTGACACCTTGACAAGTCGGTGAATGTTGTGAACTGTTTGGGCCTTGGTCTAGCTAGATGGTTCGAGGTGCCCGAAGTGACTAGGACCACTGATGTGTCCGAAATTACTAAAGTATCACCATATCATTCTGTTGCTCCACATATCATCACATTATTGGATGGACTAAATTATCCCTCATCAATGCCTACCTGTAATTCACCCTATTTATTACACTGGTAATAAAATATGACCCACATAACTTGTTTCTTTAAACAAATCATTTTAGATTGATACAACACGACATAACAATTGATACAGCATGACATAACACCGTCTTGATAACCCATTTAATATATATACATATACATAACCTAAATTAACATAAAATCAATATGATTAACCAATTTAAATTAAACAATAAATAGTAAAATAAACGTCTAACCATCCATTACCTAAATAAATTCATAAAAATTATTCAATGTCATTCTTATCTACCATGATAGTATTCCATCCAAATAAACATAATCCAAAATGATCAATATCTCTACTTTAAAACTGAAACACATATAATTATGTTTCAATACTTGAAACTTCACAATAATTAATACAAAATTCCCATATATAGGCTGGCATAACCCATATAATTTTTTCATATCACAAGCAAGTCATTTTAAAATTAAACAGATCAACTCGAATTTGACATATTTATAGATAAAACCTATGATCTCATAAAGACATGATAGCTGAAAGGCTTTGACCAATCAGAAGTCCTGTGAATTTTTGGTATGATATTTTTTAGCAACATAATCAAACCTATTTATTAATCGTGCTAAACATTCCAACATGATTTTGACATTACAATTAAGATATACAAAAACCTGTTAACTTGTTTGAAAAAACCATGAACTTTGTATAGTTTTCCAAGTTATGTTTATTTGTGGTGTCAAGTATTAATTAATTAAGGATTTGTTTGGTTTGCAGGAATAAGAGTTTAAAATTAGAATCGGAATGGTCCAACTGTTTGATTGGATAGAATTAGAATTCCATTGCCATTCCTCTCCTTACCTGTAAATAAGAATCCCTATTCCCATTCTGATTTTGATTTGGATTCCACCTATGAATCAAACGGACCCTAAGACCATCCACCGCAATCAAGGCCAAAAGTTCCAACGTAATCACATTGAAAATGATATTTCTAAGCAAAATACCTTTCAAAATGTGGTTCATTCCCGCACGAGGCAGAGGCATAGGCCGTAGAGGTTGGTCTACAGTCTACACTCTATACGAGTTCCCAGGTTCTCCCAGCTGACAGACATATCTGTACTTAAAAGCACAGTGAACCAGTGATGCCATGGAGTCCGGTTTTATTATACTGGGGTTGTTGAGACTGGTCTAATTAATACAATTGGCATTCTCAGAAAGGAATCCTTGATCATCATCTTTATATCTTTGTTCATTTAACACTTTCCAAACCGGAGTATAGGACTCTTGCTTCTACCTATCATCTCTGGTACGTCTGAGATGAAAAGGCTTGAAATAGCATCAGAAAGTGATATTTCTTTAATGAGCACGAGAACTCAGACGTCCCCCACTCCTTGTGTCTTTTACCGTTTCACCTCCGCCCTTAACGCGATTCAATGCATCACTCAATGCTTGCATTAAAACGTGCTATTCAATGCAGACTCAGAAATTTTCTCTACACCCCAGATGCACGCATCTTGATGCAATGTGGGGAAGGAAAGAAAAATAGATATTAATTAAGGGGCCTGGTTTGTTTCTCACGCAGTTTTATTTGTACTGGAACAAAAGTATGAACCATGGGAGTGAATTTTTTATTGATCAATTTCCCCTTCTCAAAATCCAAAAAAAAAGAACAACCCTTTAAATTGTGTTTGGTTGCAATGCAAATGATTTAAGTGTAAATTTTGACTTATGTTTTTTTTTAAATTTAGCTTATTTTATTTGATTGCAGTATAAATGGAATAAATTAAGACAACAAACAGAATAAAGTAAAACCCAAAACAAAATTAAATTAGAATTTACATTTTTCATTTGCACTCCTATACATTTATACTAGTGCAAATAAAATAGTACTACAACCAAACGCAGCCTTAAATGCAAAAATCCTCATTTTCTTTCATTTTTAGCTTTTGTTTCTGTTTGTTTGCATTACAGATCAAGCAAATAAAGTAAACCCCAAAGCAAAGGGTAAACCAGAGTGTTCATTACTCCCATTTGCACTACAAACAAATATCATTACTCATTACGATGACAGTAATAACATTAATATCATTCATTCTCAAACTAGTTATTGGATCCTCCATCCTACGTCGATTCAGGTTTGAAGCTAGAAAATAGAAATTCATGAACCTCTATTAGTTAAGACTTGGAAGAGTAAGAACCGGTAAGAAATGGAAGTAAACTAAAACCCATTTTACAACATAATGAAAATGAAATGGCCTAATTAATTGTCTTCACAAATCCTCTTATGAATCTTTGTACCCATGGCTCCGTTTGTTTGGGATACAACCGCAGAAATGGGGTATAAATATCGTGGTTTGTATTTACGAGCATTTGGATAATACATAAAAAAAATAACAATAATTAGAGTAAAAGTATATTTTCTAATACTTTGTAGTCCGAGAAAAGAGCAGTACTATACCTATTTTTTGAATATCATACTTTACATAGATTTCAAACAGACAAGATAAATACAAAAATAGTTTAAAATGTGAATCATATTTGCATTCATGAACCAAAAAAGTAGGTAAATATGTAATGTACATATTTACGTTTACATTGCAACCAAATGCAACCTAAAGAACAATAAAAAGAAAAAGAAAGGTATATACTATCATCAAGTACATCAACAAAAAATAGTCATAAATCACAGTTAAAAATATTCATGTAGCTAGTAATAAAATTTAAAATAGGATTGGTTCTATTTTTTTATATATATTTATGTTTCCTTTAATGATGCAATGACGCAGCCGTTCTTCATCAGAGCTTCTTTCTCTTGTCATGCACAACCCCTTCATTGCCCGCTAGCATCAAATACTTGTCTCTCCTTGTAAGTGCTGTGCACTCAAACCCCAAAGCATCTGCCAATTGTTTCTGAATGTGGTTGGCTACTTCATGGCTGGATTTCCCCCCGGCGCATGTTAGGTGTCTGGGGACCTTCGCAAGAAACTGAACATGGTAACTGGGACTTGGGTTCATCAGAAAGAAGATGGGATCCAGGCACTTGAGCCCACTTGCAGTGGTTCCATAAAACATGCTTACATGTGTATTCATTGCCACAGGAACAATATCATCTGCCAACTCTGCAAACAGAGAGCTGAACCTCAGTAAATATGGCTCTCTGCATGTGGTTCCTTCAGGGCACACCACCAGATCACCTTCACTCAACAGCTTTTGCATAGTCCCTCCATCCTGTTGTCTATCTCTTGTAAGCCTCACTGTTCTTATTGGGGCTATGACCTCAGACATCCTGCTTAAGCTGTATGTAACTGCAGTGAGACGTTTCTCTAGTGCTGTGCTCAGAAAAACTGGGTCTAAGAGGGTCCTGTGGGTGCAAACGTAGAGAACCCCCCCTCTCCTACCTGATCTTGAGGGGTCCGACCCTTTGACCCTTATGTTCACACCACTTCCACCACCTAATAAAAGGGACATCTTGTAAGGCAGGAAGATCCCCACAAACAGTCTAAAGATGGCTAGGCTTATTCCTAGGGGAAGCCACAAGAACATAGTAAGAGTTGCAAATGGAGTGGGCAAGAAAGCCAATCTCCCATCATGAAATACTAGAGGTTTGGGGTATTTCTCTCTTGGCATCACTGAACTTGTAGTGGACTTTTGTTCATCCTTGTTCACCACATAAGCTTCCTGTGTCATGCATCCAAAGAAAGATGATTAGTATGTATATATACACACATTCAGTTCTCTCTCTCTCTCTCTCTCTCTGAGAATGAGAATAGGAAGCGTTACCTTGCAGAGGGAGATGAAGAGATGGTCATGAAGGCTTGAACCTCCGAGGCCAATATCAGGACTGTTGTCTCCAAAGAACTCCTTGAGGGCCCTGTGCTTCACGAGCAACCCAGACTCAGAAAGAAGACCAGTGAAGTAGACACCCACGCTGTGCAATTCAGTGCCCAAAACATCACCGACCCTCAAGTAATCCTTGAGAAACCATTCAACCATGACTCTCGGAACACTAGTAAAAACAACTCTCCTCCCTGCTGAAGCCAAAACGTTATAGGCCTGAAGGTTGAGATTCTCAAGGAAAAACTTGGGCAGAACGGCCCTTCCCACACTCTCCATGTCCTTAACCCTGAGCCCGCAGAAGGTGACGAACACCATCACCCTTAGCTTGAACTCATAGTCCAAGACCCACAGAAGAGGACATAATAGAAGCAATAACAAGGCTCTAAAAATGCTACCACCTTCAAAGGCAACCAACATGAAATAAGGAAAGAAGGATTCAGTCCTTAACAAGCTACCATGAATATCACAGACCAAAGTCTGAGAATCCCTGCACTCTAGAGAACACTTAGTAACACTGGGGAATATAGAAGTAGGCTGCTGTGATGATCTAAACGATGGGTTTCTGAAGAAGAAACCATAATTTCTGATCTTCCTAGCAGCTCTGAAACACGAGTTTGCCAAGAGCCTGTACAGGAGCCAGTTTGCAAGCTTGAGAAGAACTATTGGAACGACCATTTCTTACTCTCTTGAGGAAAGAGTTGGAGAAGATGACAATGGTGGTGATTGTGCTTGAGAAGTGAGGATAAAGAGGAGATATATAGACTAGGACATTCGGTTACCCACACCGCTCGCATTAATTGCTTCTTCATATTTTGCACTTTAATTTCTTCCTTCTGGGCTTGGTAGGTTGAGAGAATTGAGATGTTGGTGACCGTCTTTTGGGCGGGTTGAAAATTGGGATCTTTTCTGAGATGTTAATGTCAAAATAGATGCATAGTTGAATTGTGGTACCACAAAGGCACAAACACCAGCACAATTTAGTGATTTACTGTTTCACACTCGATGGGTTCAAAAGAGGAAATGCAATCCAGTAGTTATGGACTCTTATGTGATAGGAATAGGATCATGGGCCCATGAGCATAAGTAATACCCATGTGAAAGGGGCATGGAAGATTGGTTCCAACATTGATGGGCCCTACCTACCCAAGACCCAAGAGATCTCTGACAATCAGAGAAGAACTTGCACATAAACAACCCTTGTTTCAATTTTTATTGGTTTAAATGATTTGCTTATGAAAAAAGTTAATCAATTAATATATATTTACAGGAAAATATGATGTAAAAAAGATATAATATGAAATGCAATCCAGTAGTTATGGACTCTTATGTGATAGGAATATGATGTAGAAAAGATATAATATGATATCAATTGATGGATATCATATCTTTTTCATATTATAGTCGAACCCTTTAATATATTTAAGTTATTGAGCAAATAGTAAACCGTCTCAGTTTCCAAAATAAAAAGTGAGAATGGCAGAAAATATATTATTATAAGGTATGGGGAGAGAGAGAGGTTTTTTTTTTAATATTTAGAACTAAAAACTGAGATCTAAAAATCAAATGATAAAAACCATCTAATCACAATGCGGTGGAGGATGTTGCTCTTTTCAAGAAGCAATGGCTTCCATTTCCTACCCATGCAGGGCTGTTCTGTCACATCAATTCTTAGTCTGAATTGTTGATTAGACGAGGGAATTTGTATTATTGTCCTTCATTAATTTAATTTAAGACACTTTCCATCCATCCAACAACATCCAACCACACAGAAGGAAATCAGTTCTCAAGTTTTTCTAAACTAGAACAAGGAGGAGAAAAAGGAAACCCTGGTTCTATTTCTAAATAACAGACTCCTTTGATACTCCTTGCTTGCAGCCACCAATAATGACAAAGTAAGAAAATATTCATACACTAATATCTATGTAGAAGGCAGAGAGTGGTCAGTATGTTATTCTACGTTTCCTTCTTTTTTTTCATTTTCTCTGAATTGCGATCTTCTATGTTATGATGTTATCTAATGTTTTCGAAATTGGATCAGACCGGATGGTCGGACCAAAAAGCCAGGAACCGGTTTGCTTTATCCTTAAATTGTTTTTTAGCAAAAACTCATTGATTTGGTCAGTGAACTATTTATTTGAGCAGTTAAACCGTCAAACCATTAACCCAGACAATGGTTTTTGACCTATTTTTTATTTTTTTATTTTATTTTTTGTCAAAGCAGGTCATCCATTTGAACTGGATGGTCGGATCATTGGACCCAAGAAACAGACCCAGAACAGTTCTCTATCCTGTCCAGTTTTAAAAACCTTGATGTCTTCTATTACAAATTCCAAACTCTTTTTCTGTCCACCTCTCTTTTACCCCTTTTTCCCTAAAGTGCTGGTTGTGGGATTTAATTCCACATTTAACGCTAGAACATACCAATTAATACATCACCAACAGATCAGGGCTGGTTCATTGATGTATTGACTGATTTGTTCCAATATTAATTCAGAATCAAATCACACAACCAATACTTTCGGAAAAAAAAAAGGAAAAAATTATTAATGGTAAGATGCCAACCCTCGATTGATTTGTACAATATAATTTGGAGCCCAGACCAAGAAAACTGTTTCTTGGTGTCACCATGAGGGATACCGCCTCATGTGATGGTTTGGAATTTGGATAGGGAAAATCTTCATTCCACATATTGTAAAAGCCATTCTTTATGAACAAATTAATTATTAGGTATAGACTTTTAATTGGCCGTTGTCATTCAGAAAATACTGCAGTGCTCATGGCCGGTCCAAACAGTCCTCTTCCTCTATTTAATGTATGGTATGGATTGTCTCCACATGATCAGTTGAATTATTAGCTAAAGATTGGGTTGAATGTGTTATAACTATAGTTACTTATAGATATATCCCTACAAAACTAAAGGTTTTGCAGGTTTATGAGATAGTTCTCAATTTTCATGCTCAAACATACATTTCATTATGTTTGATAGGCTTTACACATGTAAAATACTATCATTAAAATTACAAAATACTTTCATTACTGGGTTAGTTTTTTAAGTAAAGAAATTTTCTAGGTAATTAAATTTTTTATTTCATTTGGAATCCAGAGTTTTAGAGGATTTTTGTGCAAATATTTATGATTTTGTTCATAAAAAAAAAATTGCCACCTCAGCAAAATCAATAAGCACCCTTTAATTTAATACTCTAATCTCACCTACTACTGTGAAAATTTACTTCAAGGAAGATGCCAAGATTAGTGTGGCTTCTCAAAGTAGCCAACGGTAATAATGAATCGGGATTTTGGGCTATACAAAATTTATGTTATATTTTATACATAATATATTATGTGTTATGTATTATATGTCATAATCATAATATTTATAACATAAAATAACACACACTATGTATGTATGTATGTATGTAATATTTATGGACTGAGCCAGGCTTACACAAAGAATAGGCCCAAGCCGGAAAATTTGTAGGCTAGGCCAATGGGGCTACAAATGATCGCCTCTGATAGCCAGTATGCACCATTGTAGTGGTACCACATTACATAACTTGAACATGCAAATATCATCATCATCATCAAAGTCTAATCCCAACCACATAAGTCAAATTACATCATTATTAATTTACTATTCAGTTTTGTTTAATGTCATATCCATTATTAAATTATGAGTACTTAAATTATTTCTTATTTTTTTTACTCATATTCTTTTTGGTCTATTCTTAGCCTTTTTAACACATTCAACTTGCTATTGCAATAGTCCATTTCCTCCATGCATGTGATCAAACCATCTTACCATATTTTCTCTCATTTTATCACCTATTGAAGCTATTTCTAGATTCCTTTAAATGACTTCATTTCCAACCCTATTCTTTATTATTTTTTCCACCCATCTATCTCATTATAGGCATTTTTACTGCACTTTGGTCATGGATCCTATCCTTGTAGATGCAAGTATATTGGCAAAAAGACCTGCTATCAAAGATAAAATTTATGGTTTTTAAAACCAGACCAAACCGGATGGTCGGACCAAAAAAACAGGGAATTAATCAGGTGATCGGTTACATTTTACCCCAAAACCATTATTTCCCCCCAAAACCATTGATTTGGTCAGCACTAAACCTGGGAACTGAACCCTTGACCGATTAGTTGTTCAGATCGGTTTTAAAAACCTTGATAAAATCAGTAAATTGGCATCATAATATAAATCTGCTAACTATGCAGTCTTCAACTATTTACATGCATTGACAAATGTTGATCCAGCCGGCTGTATGACCTGGACCTAGTTGAACCATTCAGACTGGGAATGACCGTTACGATGGTTTTTTAGTTGTCCAATTCTTAGAAATGTTGACTTGGTCACTTTTTCGAAATTCTAATTTTTGCATATTTTTTTAAGCAAGTTGAATGGATTAAACAAAGATTCTACATTCGGTTTAGAGATGTCAATGAATCAGCTTAAATGGTAAACCTAACTTGACTTGATTCTATAGGGTTGGGTTAGGGTCAAACTTATTAGGGTGTAGGGTCGGATCAGGTTTTGGTTCTTTAAACAGAGTTGGGTTTGGGTTTGGTAGACCCAACCTGTTGGGTCATGATACCCCTACACAGATAGATATTTAGAGGATATTTTTATAATTTACTAATTTAGTTTGACTTCTAACTCTACCTTTAAAGTTTAAATTTTTTTAATGTTTGTTTTGGTTTTTGATCTTATGAAGAAAGTACAACGGTATTACCTTGAAACCATAAACCAAGTTTTAATGTAAATTGATGGCTCTTGAAATTTAAAAATGTGCATGTTATAAAGAAATACAATTGAAAGACTGCGTATCATTATCGGGTCGAACCCTATAGTGTTGTTTAGTTGGGTGGGTTCAAAAAGTGGGTTATAAGGTTAAGGGTGTCAATGGACCGGATTTGGACCGGATGAGATCCAGTTCAAAATCAATTTGGATGGATTGGATGGACCGGCAAGACATATTGGATTGAACCAATCTAGTCCAAAATATTTAATAGATTGGATTAGACCTGGGCCGTCCATAATAAATTTATATCGGATTGGGTTGGATCGGTTAAGCCAATATATGGCCCATTGATATAAGATAAGAATATTGGTGTTAATGGACTGTGTTTGAGTTGAAACCAAACTAAATTAAAACGAATTTGAACAGATTTAATGGTTCAGACATTGAATTGGACTGATTCAAAAAACTTCATAATATTCATTGGATGGGATTGGATTGCACCAAATCCAATCCAACTGACACCCCTAGTTAAAGTTGAGGCAAACCCATGCGGAACTTGATGGCATCCCTAATCCAATCTGAGTCTAATGATTACATTGATTATGCATGTATTTGTTCAAGCAAAATCTAACTAATTCAAGTGTATTGAAGCAACTTGAAATGTTTTTCTTTTGACATTTATACTCAGCTGTAAAGTAAAGAGACACTCACATAACATAGAGCCACGATCTCTACCCTTTAATGGGTTAAATCTAAGAGATTCAATGCGCCAGAAATCAATTTGGTTTTGGAATTCTCACAAATCATTTGCTACAATATGATGCCATTAATTAGAATCCGGATCTCCTACCTACAAGTCTACAACGATCCTATCAACAAGACACTATAGCTGTACATAGAAAACATCTCCCCATGAATGATAACATGTAAACACTGAAGATGTTCCCAATGTATAGTTATAT